AAAATTGTTTACAATTACAATATTTATCATATTTTCCTTTTTTGTTAACATTTTAGCAGATTAGTTTATCATATACTTTTGCCAATAGTTAAATTTTATTCATAAGGTATTCATAAATAGATTATCCAAATTTATGAAATTGTTATATATTACTTATGTTATCTTTCAACCGATATACAATTTTTGTAAATTATATTAAAAGATTGCATTTTCTTATACACCGTTGAGGTAATGTCCGTGATTGATAAATTTAACGGTTTTAGGGAAAATATAATATATACGTACTTATATTAAAACCAGACCTAATTACTATTGTATATATTATTTACTTTCTATACAGTTAAAATATACAAATCAACACGCGATTTAACTCTATAGAATTAAAATTAAAATATACAAGACTATTATGTTTATCCTATACTATTGAATACCAAATATTAATACAAATTCAATTATATCTTTAGTTTAAAAAAATCATCCGTGCGAAAGCACGGGCCATCCTCTAGTATAAAATTAAATTACTTAAGATTTGATACTGTATTATCAGTTAACTAACAAAACAAACTCTTTTTTTTTTTTTTTTTTTTTGTCATCAACAAAACAAACTCTTATCAGTTACATATAACCTTAAAAGATGATAACGTGTAGAATTAGATAGAGAGAACAGAGCCAATAAAGGCTCTTCTGTTTTCTCACCATCATCTTCTTCATCATCTCCTTCTCAATGGCTGGATCAGCTCTACCTCTACCACCGCCTCCGCCACTATCATTACAATCTCCGTCGCAGAATCAAACCCGTCATTCTTCTACCTTTTCTCCACCAACCCTCCCTCCTCAAACACCTTCAATCCGTTCCCGTCTCAGCAAAATCTGTCAAGATGGAAACCCACAACTTGCACGCCAACTGTTCGACGCAATTCCTAAACCAACCACTGTTCTTTGGAACACCATCATTATCGGGTTTATTTGCAATAGTATGTCACAGGAAGCTCTTCTTTTCTATTCCCGGATGAAAAAGACGGCACCTTTTACTAAATGTGATGCTTATACTTACTCTTCGACACTCAAGGCGTGTGCTGAGACTAAGAACTTGAGAGCTGGTAAAGCTGTGCATTGTCATTTGATCCGTTGTTTACAGAATTCTAGCAGGGTTGTGCATAACTCTCTGATGAATATGTATGTTTCGTGCGTGGACGCTCCTAGTGGTGAATTGGATTCTTCTAAGTATGATGTGGTGCGTAAAGTTTTCGATAATATGCGTAGGAAGAACGTTGTGGCTTGGAATACGTTGATTTCTTGGTATGTGAAAACAGGGAGAAACGCAGAAGCGTGTAGGCAGTTTGCTATAATGATGAGAATGGAGATAAAACCGAGCCCTGTTAGTTTTGTCAATGTTTTCCCTGCGGTGTCGACTTCTAAAAGCATTAAGAAAGCTAATGTTTTTTATGGTTTGATGCTTAAATTGGGAGATGAATATGTGAAGGACTTGTTTGTGGTGAGTTCGGCTATTTCTATGTATGCTGAACTTGGCGATTTTGAATCATCACGGAGAGTATTTGATTCTTGTGTTGAGAGAAACATTGAGGTGTGGAATACAATGATAGGTGTCTATGTTCAGAATGATTGCCTAGTTGAAAGCATAGAGCTTTTTCTTGAAGCAGTAGGATCGGAAGAGATAGTGTCCGATGAAGTAACGTTCCTTTTGGCAGCGAGTGCAGTTTCAGCACTGCAGCAAGTGGAACTAGGCAGGCAGTTTCATGGTTTTGTGAGCAAAAAATTTCGAGAGCTACCAATTGTGATATTTAATTCGTTGATGGTGATGTACTCAAGGTGTGGTTCTGTGCATGAGTCATTTGGAGTCTTTCATTCAATGCGAGAGAGAGATGTTGTATCATGGAACACTATGATCTCTGCATTTGTTCAAAATGGCCTAGATGATGAAGGATTAATGCTAGTTTACGAGATGCAGAAGCAAGGGATTAAGATTGATTACATAACTGTGACGGCTTTGCTTTCAGCTGCATCAAATCTTAGAAACAAGGAGATTGGGAAGCAGACTCATGGTTTTCTTATCAGGCACGGGATGCAGTTCGAGGGAATGAACAGTTACCTTATCGACATGTATGCTAAGTCAGGTTTAATTATGATGTCACAGAAGCTTTTTGAGAGAAGTGGTTATACTGAAAGAGATCAAGCTACTTGGAATTCTATAATTTCCGGGTACACTCAGAATGGGCTCACAGAGGAAACGTTTGTTGTGTTCCGAAAGATGTTAGAACAGAATATCCGACCCAATGCTGTAACTGTGGCATCAATTCTCCCTGCTTGTAGCCAAATAGGTAGTGTTGACTTAGGTAAACAGCTCCATGGTTTTTCTATTAGGCAATGCTTGGATGAGAACGTATTTGTTGCTTCAGCGTTAGTTGATATGTATTCAAAGTCAGGAACGATAAAGTATGCAGAAAACATGTTTTCACAAACGAAAAAGAGAAACTCTGTGACATACACCACAATGATATTGGGCTACGGTCAACATGGGATGGGAGAGAGAGCTATCTCGCTGTTTCGTTCCATGCAAGATTCGGGAATCAAACCGGACGCTATCACCTTTGTTGCTGTTTTATCAGCTTGCAGCTACTCGGGTCTAGTGGACGAAGGTTTTAAAATATTCGAGGAAATGAAAGAAGTTTTTAACATTCAGCCTTCAAGTGAGCACTATTGCTGCATTACAGACATGTTGGGGAGAGTTGGACGGGTTAATGAAGCCTATGAGTTTATTAAAGAACTTGGTGAAGAAGGAAACATAGCTGAGCTATGGGGTTCACTTCTTGGGGCATGTAGACTGCACGGTGAGCTTGAGCTTGCTGAAACTGTTTCAGAGAGGTTAGCTGAATTAGATAAAGGAAAGAACTTTTCCGGGTATCAGGTTTTGCTCTCGAATATGTATGCTGAGGAACAAAATTGGAAGAGCGTTGATAGAGTTAGGAGAGGAATGAGGGAAAAGGGTTTAAGGAAAGAAGTTGGTCGTAGTGGTATTGAAGTTGCTGGTAATGTCAACTGTTTTGTGTCTAGAGATCAAGAGCATCCTCAGTCTGGTGAGATTTATGATGTAATTGAGGGTTTGGCTAAAGATATGAGAGGCGATTCGTATCTGACAACAATCCCAACTGTCACTCCAAGTTTGGAATTGGACGAGTGAAAGATGAATGCCTTTGTAACTCCTTACCTGGCTCTCACAGAATATGGAGATAGAAGCAAGAGATGAATCAAGGCCTTAAACATGGGTAAGCGCGCAAAAAACTCTCATTTCTTTGCTTTCTGAAGCACTTAATGACATTGAATCAAATCATTATGGTCATAATCATAAACATTCTTGTGCATCATTGTCGTCAGCAGTTCTAACACATAATTAGTCATGTCTGGATTCGAAACTCGACCAGACAGAAGACAGGAGATGGAGATTGTAAACCCATTGTGCAGTTTGATGATCTATGTAAAACAGTTACAAGCCGATCATGAAGAAAGCAGAGGAGAAACTGGGAAAGAAAGAGATGTAGATAAACCAACACCATTGACCATTGTAGTAGTTTCCTTGCTCTCATCTTCATTCTATAGGCCTCTTGACTTGTAAACTCTAATAGTATAATTATTTTCATTTTTCACATTTTAAAATATATAATGAAAGTAAATAAAAGCATACCTGAATTTCATGTAACAAAAAATAGAGCTGATAATATTACTTGCTTTGACTTCATCAAAATAATCATATATAAATAGCTAAATAATGGCCTAGTGCACACAAAAAAAAACAGCTATATATTAGCCAAATTTTATTTAAGCCATATATAGACTTGTAGTTTAGTTAACATTGGATATTACAAATAGTCAAAACCCAAAGCATGGAGTTTGAAAATTATAACTCAACCACTAGTCCACCACTACATAAACTCATATACAAGGTGAATACATTTTTAATAATACTACAAAAACTAGTAGGTAAAAGAACATTAGAAAGTTCAATTCAATCCATTCATGTGTTTTAAATCACTTTTTAATCTAGCTATTCAAACAATAATTCTAGTAAATCTACAATTTACATTCAAGACATAAATAATCTGATTGATCAAAAATATATTTTTCTCACTGATGAATATTTTCTAAATTATAAAACTAAACTCATTTTACAGGATACCATTTGAAACATTAACATATCTGATGTGGAGAGACATAGAACCTTTTTAATGATAAAATACACATTAGATTAGAATCTACAAAGATAAGATTCTCTAAAGTACCTTTAATTAAAATGTTTTGTATAGCAGATTAAGTGGTGATTGAACTAAACAAATGTATCTATATTAAGAAAATAATTAAGAGAAGTGAAACTTCACTGTAATAAATAGGACCCACAATAGTGTATTAGAGTTTTTAGGTTCATCCCCTCTTCCCAACCCATTTCTCACTCATTCTTTTGTCATATCTTTCCAAAATGTTTTATTCCCTTTTTATATAATAAGACTCTAAAAAATATATATAGAATTTATAAGAATTTTTGTTTTTGTGTTAAGAATAACACGCCTACGGCATGATTATATTATTCTTGTTCACATAATTAATGGACTTATCGTAAGAATCTAAGGAAAAAAATATTGTAAAGACATACTATAACTACAAGTCATCTTTTTGTGACTGCGAGGCTTTGGTATGTTAGCCAAACTCTATATTACATCGATCGATCTACGTCAAAGACCCGTCTCACTGTCTAAATCATTATTGCAAAAATTAGAATCAGAGTTAATATTAACGAGATGAACTGAAAAAAATGAAAAGAAAAGAAAACGATAACGTAAGAATATATAATCTAGGCATGTTGGTAGCCTAACCTTCACCAAAACACTATTCTCTTTGTTTCCGAACGAAAGACAAGTTCGTGTTTTCTTTTCTATATGATTCAATCCGATCCACCAATACTCTCTTTTCTCCATTTTTAATTGTTTTAAGATTATTCTAATCTTTAAGAATAGGTCTTCTTCACTATATAATTGTAATGATATGTATCGTACACAAGAAAAAGAAATTGTGAAAAGGAAAAGCCTAATCACTGTTTTCTTTTCTTTTTCTTTCGACAAGTCATATGATATGATGAAGATAATTTATAAAGATTCTCAATTATTGCGCTAATTTGGTAAAGTTACATTGAACATTAGTTTCATGTTCGAATATATATATACTATCAACTAAAGAATTAATACACAAGTTTGAGATAAGCTAATTTCCAATTTCATCCATTCTATGCACGTTTTATATGCATTCCTTTGACTAATATTTCAGATTTATATGTTTTGGCACATGCACTTGAAAACACTTACACGTGAAAATATTTTGATTTCTATCAGTGAATGATCATTCATTTCTTTCTTACAAGATATGGATTTGTTTGGAAAACATATTATTTCGTTTTTCTAATTGACAATTTGCAATTTGGATCGAAGCATACTTGCAAGTATGCAACTAACTTCCGAATTGAATATTTATTATTTTAGGTCCATGATAACGCCCATAAACTTATACTAAAATCCTAAAGAGAAAGATAAATCTCAAATTTAAAAGAAGAAAAAAAACGTAAATATACAAAAAAAAAAGTCAAAGTTTTCATTCTATGACAAAGAAAGTCAGTACCTAACATTTCTGCCTTTATGCGAAAACCCAAAAACAAAAACAAAAGAAAAAAAAAAGTTCAAAAAGAATCAAATCGTTTTCTCATTGCAACCTCGAAGAAGAAGTGTTACTATTCGTAACCTCCTTAGACGACGGAGCTGAGCCTCCTCCAACAGAACCATCCACCGTCCCAAACATACCCGAAACAACCGTGTTAGGGTTGTTCATGTTATTACTACTATACCCGACCACGGGGTTCACGTTGTTCAAAGAAAACATATAAGGCCGTTGAGGCTGCTGCAGCGGCGCGTGAGGCTGGAAATTATATTGCCAAGGAACATGTTGAGAAGATCCAGCGGATGGATCAGAGGAAGAAGTGAGGCTGAAACCAGAAGTAGTGTTACCAGACCCAAAAGCCATAGCTGATGGACCACCAGTGTATTGCTGAACCATGGCACGGAAGTTTGAAGTGTCGGTGTTGAGAAGCGTTGTTGGTGTTCTACGTGAGGCTCTGGATCTTCTACGTGTTGGCTTGGTTACACGGCCAGTTTCTGGACTTAGACGAGAGTCTATAGAGGTTGTGTCACCGGTCGTGGTGGTGGTTGTGACAGCGGTTGAAGCGGTGGTGGAAGTTGTGAAATAGGTTTGGTTGGTGTTGTAGAACTGAGACCACTCGTTGGGGTTAGCCATTTTTTATGTCTAAAGACAAGACTCTCGATGAGATTTGTAAGAAAGAAAAAAGCATTTGCCTTCGTTTAAGTTCTTTATATATTTATTTTGATTTGTGTTTTGATTAAGACTCAGTCAAAGAAAAGACTATTCTAAATCAATCATGGCCGTTGGTTTTATAAATTACACGTGGATTGTTTTGGCTTTTGCATTTCACTCCTTAAAAAGTTGTAGTTTCTTACGTATGTTTCTTAATCTTTATGGTTTTAATTTGATTCGATAATATCACGAAT